GGCATAATATGACTCCTTTAAGTAAAATGTTTTTTCACACCTAGTATAGTGAACTATAATAACATTAGTCTCTACATCCACCTTGAATCCATGCTGGATCCACCCTTCCAGCGGAATCAGGATCATCCTGATTTTTAGCATCAAATCTATCTTAATTTTCACCTTAGACTTTTGAAATACTCAAAAACATTTGATCTGATTCTGGATTGGGTTACCAAATCCGTATCCCAAATTTGTAGGAGCAGGACCTCCTGTTTTGAAATACCCAATTTTGAGATTTAATCACATCTGAGGACTGAGGAGGCTATCCAAACACACAGCTGTGGTATACTTTGCATTCTAAAATATATTTGTTTCAGTCCTGAAGCAGCAAGAGTTTGTAGAATTACCTGCATGACTGCATCAGACCAGCCAGACTCTGAAAAAATCCCACATCCTTCTTGTCTTTTAGATAATCCAACATTTTCTGTCAAAGAGACAATGGAACACTTGAGTAATATTTTAGATCCAATTTCTATTTAAAGCAAGTACAGGAGGTGAACAACTACAGTATACAGTATGGTTTTATTATTATTATCAATATTATTATTTATTTTTTTTTACATGGTCAGAAATGTTCAAATTCAATTATATGTTTATTACTGAGGTCATAATCAAAGGTCGTGTTGTACTGGACTGTTTTTTTTTGCACTTAACTTTTATTTCCTTATGCAGTCATAGAGAAGTGAACATACAAACATGATACGACGATGTAACAAATGCAGGCATCACATTGACTTTTCATATTTGGGTTTTGTAGATGGAGACCTCACAGACAGACACCCAATTAACCTTATTCTTTTCAATATACAATCACCCATATGTTGAACCATACACTTGCCCGCTGGGAAACTTACATAAAAGAGGGTTAAGAGAAAGTTTTGAACAAGGGGTCTTGTGTCATGTTATACTGTTAAAATAAATTAAGTAAATGTTCACACCTTGCTGGATTTAACTAACGACTACTAGTCAACTAGGAAAATCTTTAGTCTGGGGCAGCACTACTAGTTTATACATCAGTTTTAAATCTGCATGTCTGTAATTAGCATTACACTTTAAAAATGTAATTGCTAACAAATTAGATAGAGTAGATAGAAAGGAAAGGGGGACAGAGAGAGAGGCGATGACACTCAGCAAAGGGCCGCAGGCCGGATCCGAACCAGGGCTGCTGCAGCAACTCCGTACGTGGGTCACCAGCTCTACCGACTGAGTTAACCGGGCGCCCAAGTAATTTCAATTTTACTATCTGGGTACATGCCTTTATCTCCTTCAGTAATTTTTTCTGAAGCCAATAAATAAAGCCAGGACCAACCCTGGACCATTAAAACCTAACCAGGCTGTCTAGCTGTGATAGCTACATACCCAACAGCATCATTACTTACACTTTGGAGTCAGATATTATACAAAAGTTTCTTTTACATAGAACTACACTGTGCAATATCATACTATTCTATTAGTCTTTAATACAAAAGTTTTACATTTTTTTCATATCTATTTTTAGACTGCTACATACTGCCTCCCCCTTTTATTCCTGCTGTGCTATGTGCCATTGCAACGTAATTTCATTTTGATGCAAATCCAAATGACAAGTAAAGTCTGTCTAAGTCTGATTAATAATCATTTTAAACTTGCATAATGGAAGGCACTGAGGAGGCAATATCGCTCACATACAGCATTACATCATCTGCAAGATAGGCGTTTTATTTATTCACATACATGGAGGGGGAGAATATTAGAACCAACTCTGAATTTAACGCAGTCCAGTATTACACCTTCACTAACTATAGCCTCAATACTAAAACACACACATTTAATTAACTTCTGACAGTGTCAAAGACAACTTATAGGCATCATGCAAATAAAAACTATGACAGAACAGGTGTATTTAAAGGTGTACTTAATAAAGTGACCACTAAGTGCATAGCTTTCAAATACAATGAGAAAAGTAACAATGTTAGTCACAATAAAACTGAAGACTAAAATACCTGCTGTACAGTAGAGTTTCCTCCATTGAGAATAGCGATGCCCAATTTCAGAGTAGAGGCCACCATGGGACCCATCTCACCTGGTGAAAAGGAATCACACAGAGAAAACAACATTAGTCTTCTAAATACCACAGTGCAGGATCACTGCAGGTAGTCAAACAACTCCACAGTGGCAAAGCCCCAGGGATTGATGAGATTCGCCCAGAAATGCTGAAGGCTCTGGGTGTTGAGGGGCTGTCTTGGTTGACACGCCTTTTCAACATTGCGTGGAAGTCAGGAACAGCGCCGAAGGGAGTGGCGCGGACTGGGTTCCCCTATTTAAAAGAGGGGACCAGAGGGTGTGCATAACAACTACAGAGGCATCACACTACTCAGCCTCCCTGGGAAAGTTTACTCTAAGTGCTTGAAAGGAGGGTTCGGTTGCTTTGTAGAACCTCTGATTGAAGAGGAACAGTGGC